TACAAGCAGAAACACATACATTCACAGCTAAGACTATTAAACAGGCATTAGTCCCGACTAGTACAAGCAGAAACACATACATTCACAGCTCACACTATTAAACAGGCATTAGTCCCGACTAGTACAAGCAATAAGACATACATTCACAGCTCACACTATTAAACAGGCATTAGTCCCGACTAGTACAAGCAGAAACACATACATTCACAGCTCACACTATAAAACAGGCATTAGTCCCGACTAGTACAAGCAGAAACACATACATTCACAGCTAAGACTATAAAACAGGCATTAGTCCCGACTAGTACAAGCAGAAACACATACATACACAGGTTCCCCATCAACCTATGCTTGTTGTAAGAAATATACTGTCACAATATTAAAGAACAACACACACACTCAGGAAAGCCCGTCTGGGTTAGAATAGGCCCCCAGCAACCAATGTTTGTCGTAAGAGGTCACAAAATGGAACGGATGGTCAGGCTTGATGCTCACAATATCAATCACTGGATTGTCTGGTCTGATTTACAGACTGCTGTCATGTAGGTGGAATATTTCTGAGAGTGGTGTAAAACAACAAACACACAGAAACATATGTATTGACATATTGTTGACAAGACATAGTTGCTATTATTCAGTTTAAGTCACATGACTTGTGATAGATTGCTTGTCCAAATGTTATAGTACTATGTAATCAGATTTTAAGATTATGTTTTGTGATAGGCAGTAAGGTGAATCTAAGCCAGAGCAATTGTCAGACCAGGTTATTGCAAATGAAAATATTTCTTTTGAAAATTGATACAGAATTAAGATATGTATTGATACAAGGGTAGGCATCCTTTGTATTGTATCGCATCCTATGTATTGTATCGCATCCTATGTATTGTATCACATCCTATGTATTGTATCGCATCCTATGTATTGTATCGCATCCTATGTATTGTATCGCATCCTATGTATTGTATCGCATCCTATGTATTGTATCACATCCTATGTATTGTATCGCATCCTATGTATTGTATCACATCCTATGTATTGTATCGCATCCTATGTATTGTATCGCATCCTATGTATTGTATCGCATCCTATGTATTGTATCGCATCCTTTGTATTGTATCGCATCCTATGTATTGTATCGCATCCTTTGTATTGTATCACATCCTATGTATTGTATCGCATCCTTTGTATTGTATCGCATCCTATGTATTGTATCACATCCTATGTATTGTATCACATCCTATGTATTGTATCACATCCTATGTATTGTATCACATCCTATGTATCCATCAATACAATAGTGAATTTTGACCCATCATTTCAAATGTGCGTTTTTTGTTTCAGAAAATATTTGATGAAACGCAATTTGACTTTTCCTGACAATGCTTATCAGCAGAATTCCAAGATGATTTGTCTGAAGTCTATCAAAGCACCCAAAGGTCATGTAGCGTTTCCTGTGAAATGTACGATCATGTATAAGTGTCGTCAGAAATCAATGCTGTAACATCTCATACATCCTGAGAGGAATTTCATGTCAAGATACTAGTTTGGTGTTACTGTTTGGAAATTGATCTTTCTTGCTGGTGTCTATTACCCCATGTTCAATATTCCTGGCTCATGTGTGCACCGTCAACTTTTGTCAAATGTGACAGTCATTAAATTTAGATACTGTTCTTGCCACATGAACAGTACTTTCAGTATGGAACCTGAAAGACCGATTGATCCTTTCGCAACAAGGAGTCTGCCAGAAAACAGGAAAATCGAAAGAAATGGCGGCAAAACCTTGAAGGCATTGTCAAATTTCAGAAAGAAAAGCCATTGATCTTTCTAGCTTTCCAGCCATTATAACACACATTGCAACAGCTAACGAGTGTTTTTTTGAAAATCTTGTTTTTCTTCGAGATTACGACTCCATTATGAAGTGTGTTTAATGACTGTATGCTATTGATTTCTTATGGTGGCAGATTTTGTCCATGTGCATGTTTTAAGAGTTCAGTAATTTTTAGTTCTAAAAAAGTGTGGGGTGATATGTGTTGGAACATTGCATTTGTCTGTTAGTCTTTGCGCCTGTTGGTTCATTAGGTCTTCAACGCGGGCTACTGAATCAGAAAACTTACCGATAAGCCACACTGGTGTGCCCCTCCCACAGACACAAATTGTTCATGTGATCAAGAATTGTTTTACCTGGACCAAGGCTTATAAGTGAAGGTTGGGATCAATTCTGAATTCTTAGAAGCTTAAAGGTCGTAAGTGGTAAGTGAGTGATTGAGTTAGGTTTCATGCCACTTTAAATAGTATTTAAATTACATCATGGCTTATTGCAGGAGGAAAGTTCAAAGTGATGCTGTTGGTGAACATCTACCACATGGTAAGGCCACCAGCATGGTATGGACAACTGATAATGTTGGAGAGAATCAGGGATTTGGGTTAGCATAGGTAGGAGGGTGGTCTGTGCTTGTAATATATATAGGGAGTTATATTGCTCTAGTATCCAGTTCATACAACTGCTCAAAACACTGTTGCGTCTGAACATATCTGAAAAAAAACAACACTTGTGTGGACATGCTTCATTGAATAGATGTGTCTTCAATCTGGATTTGAAAGTACATAGTTCTGCAGCTGATCTTACACCATGTGGGAGTTTGTTCCAGAGGGAAGGTCCTGCAGCTTGACATGACCGATCGCCAAATGTCTTAGTACATGAAGGTACAGTCCTCGCCATGAGTTGGCTGATGACTTGAGGGGACGTGATGGCTGGTACTTCTGTACAAGATTGGACAGATATGCTGGAGCTGCATTGTTGAAAGTCTTGAAGATTAGAACTAGTTTGTTATAGTTGATTCTTTGATGGACTGGTTGTTGTAAGAGGGGTTCTGTGACTTGGTTTGATTGCATGTCGTTGTACCACTAAGCATTGGGGAGTTGCTCATGATATCAACCACTGGACATATTTTCATTTTCATGTTGCTGTGATATTGCTCAACTATTGCAACAAACAACCAAACAAGATTAATTAGCATGATAAGCTTTGCTAACATCGACCAAATAGAAAAAAAATTCAAATAACTTTTGAAATATGAAAAACTAATCCGAAAATTCTTTTCTATATTTCTCTCGTCTATTGACCTGTAAACAAAAAAACGTAGAAAAAGCCAGATCTGATTATATAGAAGTTTCTTTTATTTCTAAAATAGTCAAACCCAGAGGGGTCATGATACGATACATGTGCTATGGGTGGAATATGATTTGTATTCCGATACAGTTCTTTTTTTTTCATAAGATGATATTCTTTAATTTTGCAGGTGAATCACAACCCTGAAGCATTTGTTTTAAATTTCAGAGATCAAAGATGAGATATTGTGGGGCAGAAAGTTATAAGCTAGAGGTCATTGTGAATGTTTTATGTTATTTGTTGCCAACCAGGAAATATTAGAGAATCTGCATTACCTGGTTGTTAAACAGTTTCTGTTATCTTTCACATGTTTTTACACCAATACAACTAGCAGTGCAATGTATCAGATGTATTGGATACAGGTGTTGTCAATATATGTATTATATGTTGGGTCTTGTATTGGGATACGACACTGTATCACCATATCCCTGAAGATCTGGGGTAGAATAGGTCTTCAGCAACCCATGCTTGCCGTAAAAGGCGACTATGCTTGTTGTAAAAGGCCACTAACGGGATCAGGTGGTCAGGCTCGCTGGCTTGGTTGATGCATGTCCTCGGTCCCAATTGCTCGGATCGATGCTCATGATGTCCATCACTGGATTGTCTGGTCCAGACCCAATTATTTACAGACCGCCATCATATAGCTGGGATATTGTTGAGTGCAGCGTAAAACAACAAGCAAACAAAAAAAAATCAAAAAAATCATGCCTTTGAGTTCTAAACAACTGGCTGTTTATCTGCAACTTGCATCACTTTGAGTTTTTCTCACATCTAACTCGGGCTCCTTTTCAATTGAAATGCAGTTGCTTCTCTCTATCCAAATTAAATATTTTCAGGTACTAAGCATTAGTCTACCGCTTGCTCATTTTTTTGGATACAGATGTTTGCATTTATTGTGTGTAAAAGGTTCACTTTCACCATTTCATATTGTTTTGACGAAGAACACATCTAATTTGGATATACCGGTACAACTGAATGTCTTTGTACCAGTGTTTCTCCACAACTGTGAAAACCGTACATTCACATCATGTAACCAAGATTCTTTTCTCTGATAAACCTAAAAGACTGAAATATCGTCAATTCATTGTTTATTTGATAGTGATTCATAAACACATGCTCATGATATAGTCAGAATGATACTTTTGACTCTGCTTTATGCAGAGATTTCTATTGGAGATGGAAAGGGTTTTGTTGCTTTAGTTATTTTCATGCAGGACAATCTCCACGTACCGATGATGGCAAACAGGGCCTAGCTTGTTTGGATATGTAAAGCAATATCAGTTTATTATCCACCCCTTTCAAACTGACTGAGAAACATGATTACATAATATATTCTTTGAGAGGGTAATTGCAATAGGATCAGGTCAGTTTTACAAAGAGTTTTGTATGATTATATACATCAAAGGTAGAAGATATGTCTCTATCAGTCCCTATCAGTGTAAACGGCATTCGTGAGTCTACTACGGATGTACCTTTGGTCTATATGTTGGTTTACTGTTATTGATGCGCAACGGAAATTCAACTGCTCTTTTCCAATGTGAAGTGAATATGTAACTGCTTAATTTTTAAATGCCAATTTGATACCTGTAATTTTTTTCGAATTTGAAACCTCAGACTATCATGAAATTTACACTTATCAAATTTATGTATGAAACCTCAAACTTGAAAACTCAGTATTTTACCTACTAGGTAAATATATCACTGTGACACTTCACGCATGAATATGGGATATGAATATAGTGTCATTGACCTTATGATTGCTCACTGGATGTGCTGCAAAATATCTTGTTTGCTTTCTCCTTTCAGAGAAAATAATTGTATGCCTCAAAGCTGTGAGAGAAAAAATAGTCCGTATTTCAACTCTTAGTTACAATGTTTGAAATGCACCTTTATTGGGAAATGTAACTATCATTGTCTCATTTCTCATACAATTTTCGATTCTTGCTTGACACACAATGGTTGTGGAGTAATATGGGTCAGCTAGTCAGTTTGGAAACATGATACTGAAATTATCTTGACTGTAATACTGGTCCTGACACATCCCAGGGTGGTGCCATTATGAGATAAATTCTAATAGTGCTTCAATACAGATTACAGCTATTTTTGTCTGACTTATTAAAGAAAAACATGGTGCCAAGATTATCACAAGCAATGGTGGCCAGTGTACCTTTAAGTATTTTGATGGAAGATGATAGAAATAGCTTAACAAGGTCTGCATTTGGTAACTTTATGACTAATTTCTTGTCAATCATCATAGGAAACAAACCTGCCCCAGGTGAGACATGCCTTGTGACGCCCTCACTTTAACACACATTGTTTTGTAAATATTTTCATGAATTCAAATTTTGGTAAACTATTTTGCTCTGTCTTACTATTGTGTCAGCCTGAAAAATGTATTTAGCAAAGTAGTACTACAGTTTTTATAACCGTTTATATTTTGTGTTATATCGAGGGAAAAGATTTCATAGCCTCCTGCCTAAGCTGGGGTTGCCATCTTCTGTCACCCCCTTTTGTCAGTGGACTGGTCCAGTTTGAGAGAGGTGTTCCATTCACCACCTAATCTTGCTCATTTACACTTGGAGGGGACAGGGGGTCAGTTATTACCAGTGTTGTAATTCTGCACACAGTGTTGTGGGTCAGAGGTCACGGACCATGTGCTGTGAGTAATGATGTGAACGCTGGATGTTATGCTGCAGTGTTCGTTAATTTCTACTGTCTGCCAAGGAGAATTGCTCCATAACTTGTGATCTTTTCAGGAGAAGACATCTGGATAATGTAGCATCAAGAAAAACACTGCCACAGATTTCCATAGAGATCATCCGCCTGTGTTGTCGGGCAGACAGACTCAACTCGAGCAGACGGACTCCGGAAGGTGACTTGACTTCCTTCTCCGACCAGGGATTGTAGGATTGTGGTCTGTTGTCGGAAATTGTCGGACTAAGTCAGTGAATGTGTTAGTGTGGCCAGAGCTCGGACTGCAAAGTGGACAACTGTCAGTTGGTGAGTACATTCGGCGGTTTTTCCTATTGTTTACATCCCTCCTGTTTTTATTTTCCATGTGTACACTCGCTCGCTCGCTCGCTCGCTTCCTACCGCTGTGTGGAGCCACATCAAGCCTGCTCATAGCTCGTTAGCATGGCCTATCACCAGAGCCAGTATGGGACTGTTAGGGTAGATCAATTCTGTCATGTAAGTTCTGATAATACAATTGTGATAAATTGACTGGAGACTTGGGGTTGTGTTAGGGTCTGTTTGGGGGATTTATGTAAGCTTTGATCATGACCTCAGAGTCTATCTGTCTTACCAGTGAGGGCTGAGCAAGACCACTGTCAAGCCTACGCATGAGTTATACACAATCAATCACTCTTGTCATTTGTTCTGGAGTAATTTGATCAATTTGAGATGTACTTTGGCATGGTCAGTTATCTTTTGATCCAATAAGCTGCTGGATTCAAGTGGTACCAGCCCCATTAGCATGTGGCACAAGTCACAGACCTGTGTTCTCAAGACTGTACAGGTACTGTGTGAAGTGTTCAGTGCTATGATAGCGTTTGATGTGAATGCTATTATCAGTTGTACTGTGTTTTGATTGATCATAACTAGCATTGGAATTGTCAGTCTGGGCAATGAAATTAATGTTTGGCCCTATAGCTGTTCATTTTGGTTTCACACATTCAGTTAAATTGTATACAGTCTTATGTTTCTACTCTACAGAAGGTTGGTCCAGAGGTTGGTGCTATAGTATTAAAATCTTGGCAGACTCACATTTTTCTCATGACTGGGACCACTGCTTCAACAGCTATGTAATAATTCATGTAAATGAATCCTTTGAAACCCCATCTGAACAGGAAGTATTAAATCAGTTCATTTTCCTTGACCACATGACCTAGTGACAAAACGTTAAGTGGCCTTGAATGACTCTTTTAAACTAATATGATTAAAAGACAGAGTTTTATTACCTTTTTTAATCATTATTTTAAGTACATCCACATGCAACAGTTTAATGTTCCGATGATGAAAGAGCTTTCTTTTGAGTCTCTGTAGGTGGAATATCTGTATTGTGAGTCTAATGTCATGTGTTATTTGTGCCTGCGTTAACAAGCTGAAATATTTCTCTTAGTTAGGACACATCAGTCTTGAAATTATCATTATCACCTTCTTTGAGTCCAGATTTAACAAACTCCAAAAAGGTAAATATTCAACTTGTTGTCTCTGAAATTTGCTGTTGATCAAAAATATTATTTTCCACTACTTGGGGATCTTCACCAAATATTTTTCAGGAGTGTCAACTAAAATGGCATCGGTTGTTTGCAATATGTTATCTTAGATAACTGCTCATGCTGTCAGTCACTTCTATGTCTCGTCCACACTTGATTATTTACAGGTTGCCATGAATGTTGCAACTCAACAAAACTCTCTGCTCACAAGCTATAACTGTATGACTGTCTGATATACCTGGACTGATTGTATATTCTGAATGTTACAAATGTTGATTTAGACTTGCCTCCCCAAAGAATGGGCTTAAAAGTCCATCAAAAGAAACCGACAGTCACTTATTTATGTTTCTAATTGCCAAACAAGTTTTCTGATGTATTTTTAATGAGTTAATATTGGTATTGTATTACGTAAGCAGACATGGGAAACAAAACAGTCAAATCAATAACAACAGTACGAATAAGAACAGACTGAATCAACGGCTGTGAAGACAGATCTTACAAGGTACATGTCTGGATCTCTACTAGCCCCAAGGGTGCCTTTAACTTGGGATGTCATGGTAATATACATGATGTATCGATACAGATTTATGGAGATAGATACTAGATTAATGATTCACTACCACAGACATTTTTATATTTATTAAGGTTACTATAACCTATGAAAAGACAAAAAAAATCCACTTTTAATATTTAATGGATCAGCCTTGTTCTTAATTAGCCTTGCATTATTTAACTGTAGGTCTACATAGGTAAGTTATCTATTCACAAACAGAATAATGGATTTTAGTATTAATTGATATATCGGGATACTTTTGAGTCGATATATAAATACTAAAATTTCCACTCAATGACATCCCTACCTTTAACTGTATTCATTAGCCATGTTGACAGTGTTGCTATTTCTTGTGTATCATACAATATCTTGCACGATAATGCCTCTAGTCAAATTGGGATGTAAGTAGCCCACATCATGCTGTGATGTGTGAAGTCAGGTCCTTGACCATCTATGTTTTTGTTTGTTTGTTGTTTAATGCTGCACTCAACTGCTGGTCTGTAAATAATCGAGTCTGGACCACACAATCCACTGATTCATATCATGAGCATTGGTCTACGCACTTGGGGTACGATAACATGAATCAACCATGTCAATGAGCCTGTCCACCCGATCCTGTTAGTGGCCTCTGTAGACAAGCATGGGTTGCTGGAGACCAATTCTATCCTGGATCTTCGCATGTCTCTGTTTCAGACACATGGTCCTGACTTTAACTCCCTATTTCAACATGCATTGGATTATAGTTTTACCTAAAACATCACAATGTTTCATTTGTACCCAACCTCTGCGTTTTGGACACTTGGTCCTGAGTTTTGTCTCCCTTCTACAACACTCATGGGACGTTATGGACCAGATATTTAAAAAATGTTCACGGTCACATTGTGTTGACAGGCCGTGAGTGGAGAGTTGATCAGCTGATTGATGCTCACAGTTGACACAGCTACTAAGTAGCCTCTTATCTGTTTGACAGATATCTGGGACAAGGAGATTTGTTAGAATGGATTTGAGCTGATTACTGGAGGTGTTTTTCCTATTGATAATTTGCCTTCTTAATGAACCAAGTATTCATTATTACTGAAGGTCTTTCAACAGCTATTGTTACTTTTTAATAGGATTCTTGAACGATGAAAATCGTGAAAGCAATTCATTACAGATATGACTACTGGCCATTTGGGGCTTAACACAGACACAAAGTAACCACTCAACAGTGGCAAACACTATTTGCTTGCTCCCCACTGGACCAAAGTGCTTTGTTATTGTAGATCATTAGCTGAATACAACATGCTTATGTCAATGTATTTTTTCTTTCCTGTCATTTACAAGACACATGTTTATGTCGAACCAGTGTGGCGTTATCTGATCAATAATCATTTTGCATGACCAAATCAATTCTGATTGGGTGTGATGGATGGGTCCAGGATCCTGATTGTGGGTTGGGACCATCACTCTCTTCAGCTCTGGTCCATCCAGATGCTGGTGACAGACCATGCATGTGACAGAGACGTTTAACAAGAATCCTCGGCTTGGTCTGACTCGGTGGTTCCGTTTGATAGAACTCTCGCAGGATGCTTGAATCACCGAACAACAGCAGTGTAAGGTAGTGGGGGAAAAGAACCAATATTTTCATACGGCTTCATGGTGATTTGGTGGATTTAGACAAAACAAGATGGATTTAATTTGTGTCCTCAGTGGTGTTGATCTGGATTGGAAACTGTATCACTTATATCACCGTTTTCGGCTGAATTACGTTTATGTTGTGGTATTGGCGATAACGGTATTTACCTTATTGGAACTAGACGAAGATCAAAACCGCTGAAGAAAATATGTGTGACGCATCTGATTCATGTATATGTTATGGTTGTATTACTATGGCTGTGTCCAATCAGTAAAATTGTTATTCAAAGAAACCTACTGTATTTGGAATGATAGTTTAAATTCAAAGCATTAAACACTGTTAACCAATGAACATCAGTTAGCGACAAGTGTTGATATTGAGACAAGTATTGGATGTGACCTAGATGTGTGCAAGTACTACAATATATGTGGTGAAACTCTACATGTTAACACCATCGACCATTGGTTTGTCAGTTATATCAGTTATATGTCTTTCAGTTCTATCATTGGGTGCCAGGTTTATGTGGGAGGAAATCCCAAAGTAATGCTGGTCTAAGATGTAATCAATACAGAAAGGTATGATACTGACAAACCGGGGTCAACCAAGAGTCGAACCCGCGATCAAATGTTTTAATATGGTTGAAATACTGTTCCCAGCGGCATTAAAAGTCACTCACTCACTCACTCACTCACCCACTCACTCACATCACGCTGTACTTCTGTGGCAGGAGTGATCTTTTTACTACATTCTTCTGGACACTTTGCCTGCTTGTACACCATAGCGGACTGTCAAGCAATTTGTTTTATTTCCTGTTGTATGACATTAGACATGATTTGTTGGTGGTGCCTTTGACCATAAGTGCCTGGGTACCCCCAGTTGTCAGATTGCTCACAGGAAATATGTCCCTGATACACATATGCAGGGATAAACTTACGCCCCAGCTACAGTCAATCCATCCATGATAGAGGCATCTGGATGGCCGGTTGAACTTGAAGGCTTTTCAGTGATATATGGCTGTTTGGGCTAGCAAACTGTTTAGGTTAATTTCTACGGCTGTGCACATATCTGAGCTTGGCTGCTTGCTGTTCCCTGTTTGCTGTTTTATAAACATTTGCTTTAGTGTGGTAAAATATTTATGTGCATGAATCCCTCGAGGGAATACAGAAGGCTAATTAGTGGATCATAATATATTAATGTTAAACATATCTAATCACTCTATTGCTGTTATTCCTACATTAATTCAGTGTTGACATGTTCATGTGGATGATATAGACACAGTGATAGTTCAGTCAGGCCGTATCCACTCCCATGTAAGCAGCTGGATTATGGTAGGGGTATGAATATTGTATGGAGTAAGTTGGATTTAACACCTCTTTGGGCAGTATTTCAGCTATATCACAGCATGTCTTGCTTAATAAGGAAGGAAAGCCTGAACAAAGTCATCCAGGTTGTACACTTTTACCCACTTTGATGTCACCTTGCGCACAGAGAAGTTGCCGACAACTATAAATCTTTACCAGGATCAGACTTGAATTTTGATCTTTGAGTTCTAGAATGCTAAAGGAAACAACTCTGTACAGAAAAATAGCAGCGACTCAGACAACGGGCCACCCAT